CCCATGAACATAATTCAGAGTTAAACCTGGAAAATAAAACAATAAGCCTGGGTATTGGGCCACAGCCATGACCCCCTGTGTTCATGACTGCTCCCAGCCCACAATGAAGCTGGGACAGACACAAGGCTCAAAAGGCAAAGTGTTCACTATCTGGCCTGCACAGAAAAGATTCACCAACCCCACATCTGGAGCCTGTGGGGGGATAGCTGAAGGCCTGACTTCGGAGATTCAGGGGTCTCCTCTCCCCTAGGCAGAGCTCTGCTCAGATACTGGGCCGGTGTCTAAGCTAATGTCTCTCAGCTGCAGACCCACCCTGTCAGGACAATCTGGCAGTTTCTCAGAAAACTAAACACATTCTTATCACACAATCCAGCAATTATGCCCCTTGGTATTTACCCAAGGAACTTGGAAATTACATCTACACAAAAACCTTCACACAAATATTTACAGCAGCTTTATTTGTAATTGCCAGGACTTGAAAATAACCAAGATGTCCTTCAGTAGGTGAACAGATTAATAAAGTGCAGCCCCTCCAAGCAATGCAATACTAGTCAGCATACAATGAAATGAGCTATCACACCATGAAAAAACATGGACGAAACAAATGCAGATTACTGAGTGAAAGACATCAATCTGAAAGGCCACACGCTGTATGATTCCCAGTATGACATTCTCGAAAGGGCAAGACAATGAAGACAGCAAAAGGGTCCGTGGTTGCCAGAAGTTAGGGGGAGGGAAGGATGGACAGGTGGAATACAGGATGTTCAGGGCAGTGAAACCACCTGAATGATAATATAATGGTGGATACAAGTCACATGCATTTGTCACACCCATAAACCACATCACCAACAGTGAATCCTAATGTCAACCATGCACTTTGGGTGATGACATCAATGTAGGTTCATGACTTGTAACAAATGTACCAATCTCAGTGGGGGATGCTGAGTAGGGGCTGCGAACATGTGGAGGGAAGAGGTATGTGGAAAAGAAGTCTCTGTACTTCTCTGCTGTGAGCCTATACTTTTCTAAAAAATAAAGCTTATAAAAAGCAAAAACCTACTAATTAAAAAATCTATACACAACAGACCACAGGACATGGTTTGCCAATGCCTTCTCTAACATACCATGTAGTTTAGTAACTCATTTTCTATTATATACTTCTCTAGCTCTCCTCTCCCCTCCAGAGTAGGAGTTCCTCAAGGTCAGAGATCTTAGTCTATTGTGTTTACTACTTATTTCCCAGTGCTAACATGTGCCTGGCACACAGTAGATTCTCAACCAGTACTCCTGAATGGAAGTATGAATGACTCATAATATTTTATTTAAGGCCCTCAGTATCGTGGTGAGCCATTATAATGAATGTCATTGGTATTCTACCCAGATCTCAGAATCCTCTGCACCAGCACTGGGTGTCCATCCCCCAGCCCTTGAATTCTCTGTTGCTAAAGGCTCCCACCTGTAGCCTTCCTTAGAGTACTACCCTGGACCCAGATCCAGAACTGGACATGTCTGAGAGTTTATATCCAGAAAGAGAACCCATAATCAATGATACAGGAATATGAAAGCTCAGCTTCCTACCCTTACTGTGTGACACAAACTTTGTGGCATACCCTATGCTTCAGAACTCCCATGGAATCTTTAAGCCTAAGATTTCTCCAGAAATCATACCCTTAGTTGGTTTCTTCTTCTTTATCCTACCCTTCTCCTATTCCATTATTGCTCTCTCCTGGAAGCACTTCCTTAACAAATCTCCTGCCCAGGAATCCTCATGTCAGAATCTGATTCTGAAGAATAGGTTCTAAGACAGATTCAATATTGGAGTTATCAGGCATATAATCCAAATGAACTATGAATATTCAAAGATATGAAATATGGAACCACAAAGAATGAACAAACAATGAGATACTATGATAATGAACAATGTATCTAGGGAAAAAGGCAAATTGAACTCATAAAAAAGTTACTAAAATAAACTCAGTACATAGTTTAAACAGATTAGCCATTGCTAAAAAGAGAATTGATGAACTGGAAGAAATTTATTCTTAAAAACTCAGGGACAGGACGGCACCTGTGGTTCAGTTGGTAGGGCACCGGCCAATATACTGAGGGTGGCAGGTTCAAACCCAGCCCTAGCCAAACGGCAACAAAAAAATAGTTGGGCACTCTGGTGGGCGCCTGTAGTCCCAGCTACTCGGGAGGCTGAGACAAGAGAATCACCTAAGACCAAGAGCTGGAGGTTGCTGTGACCTGTGACGCCACTGTACTCTACTGAGGGCAATGAAGTGAGACTCTGTCTCAAAAAAAAAAAAAAAAAAAAAAAATACAGGGACACAGAAAATAAGAGATTAAAAGACAAGATGACAAAATAAGATACTTCAATATCCATGTACTCAAAATCCTTGTAGGGAAAAGAGATCCAGCAGTCCCACTCATGGGTATGCACCCTGCACAGACTCTTGCACTTGTATACTTGGAAACATATATGAGAATATTAAACATAGCATTGTTTACAATAGCTCCATATTGGAAAGAGCTATAATTTTCATCAAGAGGACAATAATTCATAGCAAACTCCCATAATAGAACATGACATAGCAATAAAAATAGATGTTCTATGACTATAGGCAATAACCTGGATACCTTAGAGAAACAGTCTTATAGAACACAAAAAATAAGCAAAACCAAACAATATGTTATTTAAGATAAATATAAAATAGGAGTATTTTTAAGGCAAGGAAACAGTAAATAGAAAATACACAGGATTTATTACCTCTGGTGGGAAGGCAGGGGGATGAGACCTAAAAGGTACACAAGATACTGATAATGTTCTAGGTCTTAGGCTGGGTGGTAGAGTCACAGATGTTCATTTTAGTGTTATTCTTGAGTTTACATAAGTGATCTATTCTTTTGTATATATTAAATGTTATATTTAGAGTGATGTTTGCAGGGTCTCTACAACAAATGGTATAAACGAATATGAAGATGCTTAAGGGGTCTTTGCAGTCAGACAGACCAGGGCTGGAATCTTATGTCTTACTGTGTCTTTGAGCAGGTTTCTTATCTTGGATAGACCTAAATTTTCTCACAAAATAATGTCAATAAGTCAGGTGCAATGGAAAAACAAAACCAAAAAACCACTGGCAATAATATCTACCTCAAAGGGTTTGGGATTTAAGTAAGATTTCTAGGCATAAGCTTCATGGTAGGATGGACTTATTATCCACCTACGCAACCCTAGTGAACAGAACATGCATGGCAGGGCCAAGTCCTCCTCCTTCCAAAATAGTAAAGTCTGCATGAGTTTTGAGGTGGTTGTTTAACTTTTTGATTTTTGTCTTAAAGATTGACATTTTGGCTCGGCACCTGTGGCTCAAGTGGCTAAGGTGCCAGCCACATACACCTAAGGTGGTGGGTTCGAATCCAGCCCGGACCCGCCAAACAACAATGATGGCTGCAACCAAAAAAATAGCCAGGCATTGTGGCGGGTGCCTGTGGTCCCAGCTACTTGGGAGGCGGAGGCAGGAGACTCGCTTGAGCCCAGGAGTTGGAGGTTGCTATGAGCTGTGAAGCCACGGCACTCTACCCAGGGGGATAGGTTGTGGCTTTTTTTCAAAAAAAAAAAAAAAAAAAGATTGACATTTTTCTTGGTATTGGCTGTCTATAACTATATGGAAGAACTAACTTCTCTGGGTTCAAGTTCTTAATTTATAAAACAATATTGTACTAGGGTAAAACAATGTTGTATTGGGGTATACAACTGTTTGTTTTTTATTTTTGAGACAGAGTCTCACTTTATCACCCTTAGTAGAGTGCTGTGACATCATAGCTCACAGTAACCTCAAACTCCTGCGCTTAATGGATTGGTTTTTGTTTTTTAAGAGACAGGGTCTTGCTCTGTCATATAGGCTGGAGTGTAGTGGTGTCATCATAGCTCACTGTGGCCCCAAATACTGGGGCTCAAGCAATCTTCCCAGTTCAGCCTCCCAAGTAGCTGGAACTACAGGTACACACCACCACATCCAGTTAATTTCTAATATTTTGTAGAGTTGGGGTCTATGTTTGCCCAGGCTAGTTTCAAACTCCTGGCCTCAAGTGATCCTCCCAATTTGGCCCTGAGATTAGTCATGAACCATTTGTACCCAGTCAAAATTTAATGCCTCTAGCCCAAGATCATATAAAATGATGAATTAAGTATATTTTTCTACAAAAATATAAATTCTAGTCACAAATCCCAGGTCTGAGATTGTCAGAGTCACGTTCAGTGATGGCCAGCTCAGACGGGTGTGCAGCGCAGTCAGGCTGTGTTCGCCTTCTAACATGCTGCACTAGTTTGGTTCCTCCACCTCTGTCACTTTCTGCCTTTTTCTTTGGTTCCTACTCTTCTACCCCTTGTGACTACCATTTCTAAAACTTAGCCCTGACCATTCTTAGCATTTGAGAAGTTCACTCACTCTCATGTATCAACTAGTGTAGTTGTCAGTTATTAACAACCACACAGTAATTCCAGCCCTTTCTCCTCACAAGAGTACCGATAAACCTCTGAGATCCAGGAGCAGTTTAATTTGGGTCCTGCCATCACTGGATCAATGCAGGTCAGAAAACCCTGAGGGACTTCTGTCCTAAGACGTAATGCCCCTGCACCTCTAGCTGTGATAGGAAGAAGCAGGTCATTCTGCCCAGATGGAGCACAGGTACCCTGCTCTCCAGCCTTGTAGACAGAGAAACGAGTCTTCAAGCTCACTTAGGTGCAAAGCCTGAGACTCACAGCAGCCTCCCAACACCCACCTGGCATCTCCTCAACCCAAAGGATCCTATCCTATAAGAAGAGCTCTGTCTCTGGTTGTAATTCATGTTCCAGCCTTTATCAACTCAGAGGTACCACAATCACCATCAAACAAGAAAGTGAAGTCACAGATATTTACAGGATCAAGGATATGATAAGCAAGACCAACTGAGAGAAATTCATTTCAGTTCCTCCCGGAAGGCATCAGCTGACCCACCTGATGTTGTCCAGGGCATCTGTTATCTGCTGTTGCTCAACATCATAGAGTTTCACCTTGAAGCCTCCACTTGCAAACAGCATAGCCCAGCTTCGCCCAATGAGTCCACTAAAGGGAAATAAAATTAAGAAAGGATGCAAGTTAACTTAATTGAATACCTTTCCATTCCTAAGACAGATGAGTTTTTTTAGTTATATGGTATACTATACTGAAAATATTTACACAGAGGGAAACTGAGGCACCGAGGGATTAAGTCCACAGAGGTTATAGCTGCCAGAGCCACGAGAAGAAACCCAGCAGCCTGACTCGATCCTTACTTTCAATGACTACACTGCACCTGCTGCCTCAGACCTACTGGAGAATGAAAAAGCCATGCAGAGGCTTTTCAAAGGGCCATTCAAAGGTTTGAAAGTCAAAGTATGGAACATATCTGGAGTCCAAACTTTGGTTTCTAATCCCATTCTCCAATAAAAGGAGGCAGAAATTCTTGGAGAAATGACTAATTCTAGGGATGAACCAGGAAGTACACAAGATGAGCCTGGAGCAGTTTGCAGTGCCAGAAAGAAAGTGCTCCGAAAAGTTAAAGATCCTATGTTGACCGGCACATCACAAGGACATGAGTGCCCACTATAAGAGCTCCCAATGGCTAAAGCTAGAACACCTAGAGCAACAGGAATAAAGTAACATTGGATTATGAAACAAGGCCCAGAGTAAATATCCATGAATACTGACATAAATGTCTGAATATGTAAATGCAGAAGAAGCCAATCTCTGGCAGAATGCTGGTAAATTTACACAGCTGCTCCACCCTAAGAGGCAGAGTCACTCCCTGTAGAGGATGCCAAGAGCCAGATGACCTCTGAGCAAGATGATCTGCAGCTGGGGGATGGACCTTCGGGCAATTAGTTGGCAGGTGCTCCTTACGAACAAAGCCCAAGCCCATGGCGATCCTTAGGCACTGTCGTCATTGTGTAATATTCCCCTCACCTGTATTGTACTGTTTCAATAAAAGGCTAGTGTGGAGGTTGCTTGGGCCTACCCTGAAAGCAAGGTTAGGCCTGCCTCCTACAAGCTTGTACTTCTAATCCATGTGGCCTGGGTGATTGAGACCAGGGCCATGGGGCCCTAAAGGTTGCAACAACTCCCCGTTCAGTAGTGTGGGCTGCACAGGGCACTTCCTTCTAGGGAGCACAGTGCAGGCAGGGGGGTACTGGGGCAACTTAGCAGTAGGGAAACCTGACAAATGCCTCATCCTCAGCCAGGTGTTCAAGGCCAGTATCAACAGTGATGGCTGAGTGTGTGCCCTTGACACATGACAAGAAGGGCACTTTGCCTTGGTGGCCATCTTTCCCCAAACCCACAGCTCTAGTGTACTCAAGAGGAAAACATCAGACAGACCCCTGTTGTGGCCAATGCTCCCCAAGGTCCTCAAAAACAAAGGAAGTCTGAGAAACTGTCACGGTCTAGAGCAGTCGAAACAGAAGTGATAAGTAGATGTAATTTGGTGTTCTGGATGGAATCTGGGACAGAAAAGGGACATTGCCTATACTAAATATGTAGGCTTTTTCTGCACCACGATCCCTAAACAATGTAGTATAATGACTACATTGTAGTACATGTACATAACATTGACATTGTCTCTGGTACTGTAAGTAACCCGGAGAGGATGTCAGCAAACGCAAGGATGTGCCTGGGTTCCGTGCCAGCACTACATCATTTCACGTCCAGGACTTGAGCACCCGTGGATTTTAGTATCCACAGGCAGTCCTGGATCCCATCATCCATGGATATTGGAGGACAAGTGCACTTATTTCTGCACTTTGCTATATGACATAATTCATTAAAATGTTTTTAAGAAGAGAAATCCTTACCTAATTTGTAGTTTAATATGCAACTCCTCAAAATAACCCATCCCTGCTATGCACATAAAAGCTTTACCACATACTGATCTGATTGGGGACCAGATCAAGCTGACTAGCCCTCAGTCCTTGAGAGTAATCTCAGATCCCTCTACCTGCTAGGTGCTCTGACATCCATGTCTGCCAGACAGTGGGGGAGAGGCCAGCACCCAGGAGAAAGGAGGCTGTATAGAAATGGGGGTGCTCCATTGGTCTAGAGGTCAAAGACTTTCCAGAGGTAAGACAGGTTCATCCCATCAAACAGACCTCGCCCCCACCCCCAGCTTGATTTCCATCACCAGGGACCAGTGTGCAGGGGGAGCCACCAAAGAGGGGAAGGAAACGCTTTTTTCTTTTCTTTTTTTTTTTTTTTCAAATTTCAGATTAATATGAGGGTTGAAATGATTAGGTTACACTGAGTTTCTAAGTAAAGTTCAAGTTGTAGTTGAGCCCTTCACCCAGGGGGGGTGTGTATGCCCTCACATTGTGCACATTCAGGGAGAAGGAAGCTTTCTGAAGATCATTCTTGATTAGTAAAGGTGACATCACTGCTTAAACCTCCACTGCCCAGGGAGGGAGCCCCTGCTAACACTGCAAAATAGCTGTCTGAGCTGAGGTATACTAGTAAGTGTAATAACACTATGATAATAAATATTATGTGCACAAATATAAATAGGTAAACAAGTATAAGATACACACTGGGTTTTGAAGACAGTGTAAAATATTGTCTTTTTGCATGACTTATTGAAATAACACATAAATATTGTTAAAACACAGTATCAAAATTAATTTCACCTGTTTTCTTTTACTTTTTCTCTTTTTTTATTTCCTGTAGAGATGGGGTCTATGTTGCCCAGGCTGGTCTTGAACTCCTGTCCTCACATGATCCTCTTGCCTTGGCCTCCCAAAACACTGAGATTACAGGTGAGAGCCACTGCAACTGGCATTTAACTTTTTAAATTTAACTACTAGAAAATGTAATTACATACATAGCCTGCATTTGTGGCTCACTTTACTTTTCTAATGGGTAATAGTGTTGTAAATCATTTATCTCAGGGGTCTGTTTGGTGTCAGGATGCTGAGTTCCATCCTCACCCCTGCTACCACTATGCTCTTACAGAAATCAGGAGTCAGTCATATGCCCAAGAGGACAGCAGCTCTTCATCTACAAAGGCAGTGAGATGGGAGGTAGGAAGCAGAGATTTGCGCTAGAGCAGTTTTCAAACTTTCCAAACATATTTTTTCAACATCCAAGTCACCATGGCCCTCATGTTTGCATATTGCTTGCCAAATAAATTGACCCTACTGTTTATAGTGAAAAATCACTATAATACAATGTTCAAAAGGAAATAATAAATATACAAAAATTCCTGTAAGTCCAGAAGAAAAAGATGAACACACCAAGTGGGTTGGAGGCTCAGATAAAGTCTGAAGAAGCAATAAAAAACCTGAAAACATATTCAACTGCCTTAGTCTAATAAATATACGTATCAACCTAACAACGGCAAATAAAATATATCTCAGACTTGCAGAGATTGAAGACTGACCACTCTCAGCGGTTGGTGAAATTACAGAGAAACAGGCACGTTTACCCTGTGGTGGAGGAATGTGATCCGGCATAAACCATCTGGAAGGCAGCCTAACAGCCTGTATCAAAAGTGTGTTTATAACATTAGACTAGGAATTTTACTTTTAGAATCTTAGGTTAACAAGGGGAATGCAGACAGATATCCATTCACAGAATTTATATTAGCTAAAATGTTAAAAACTAACCATCGAATATTCAGAATTAGTAAATTAAATTACTTACAAAGCAAATATAGAAAATTTTTAACGACTGAATATAGAAGTAGGTATGCAGGAAATTTTTTCTATACTTTCAATGTTTATCATACCAAGTTGAGGAAATTAGTTATATTTCATATAACATGTGTTAAAGGCAAAGCAGGTTTATCTCTATTGTAGCAGGCTGCAGGACCTGTATTGGCCATCTTCCTTGAGAACCTGCAGCAGAGAGCTGACTCCTGGGACACAGCTGGTGTCCCTCCCTGACCTCACAGCTCACACCTATGTAGTCACTGATGAGCCGGCAGGACATGCACACCTGGCCGGAGACAGGCAATCAGCGGCTCACTAGCACCTGTGCTCTCTGTACCCACGCAGAGCTGAGCCAATCAAATTTCTTCTCCTGAAAACGAGACCCAAACTATGGAAACAATGAATCAGTAACCAGCACTGTGCCTGAAAGAGCACAACGTTAAGGCTGGGACAATGTACAGGACGAACTCACAGGGGAGGTAAGAAAGCCAGCAAAGCAAGAAGGGAGCATCTACAGAGGAGCCCCATCTAGGAGAGACATAGAGATCAGACTTGGCTTTCTTACCCCACAGGCCCCAAAATAATTGGCTTCCTGTCCTGAGCACCTGTGACCTCTTATTAACTTCTGAATGGCCAGATACCTGGGGACCATGTAAGGGGAGCCCATGATAGAGGTACTTTGAGCTCTTTCCCATCCTTATATGCTTTAAGTTAAGGCTTCTAGACTCCTAAATCTCACCCGGGACTGCAGAAGGCTAATCCATACAAACACAGTATGCAAAGCAGCAGGGGGGATAATAAACTGAATCAACTCTATCATGAATGCCACTTTGAATAAACCTCTAGATATATCTAAGTAAGTAATATCTAAGGTTATTTATTGCATAAAAGTTGAAGTAAAACTTCTTATACTTGTGATCTAAGTCTACAATGAAACTTTGCCAATAAGAACCACTAAATAGTTTTTAGGAAGGGCACATTTAATGTTTAAGCCGACTCATGAGGCAACAGGAGCATCCTAAGGCTTGCTGGGTGTGTGTGTCTGTGTTATGTTCATAAATTAGCAGGAAATCCCTTGGTACTTCAAAGAAATTTTATACTTCAGACTTTCTTGCAAAGAATGCACATATCGTAGCTGGATGTTGTGGCGGGCGCCAGTGGTCCCAGCTACTCCAGAGGCTGAGGCAAGAGAATCACCTAAGCCAGGAGTTGGAGGTTGCTGTGACGCCACGACACTCTACCGAGGGCAATAAAGCGAGACTCTGTCTCTACAAAAAAAAATGCACATATCACCCCATAGAAAATTTTTGGTATTTAAAAACAAATGGAGACTCAGGCCAGGTGTCCATGTGCTGCCTTCCCCTAGTTTAGGGGATGCCTGTTTAATGTAAAGCAATATCCTACTGAACATTAGGAAAAAACAGACAATCTCTGTTACACACACCCAAACATCCGTCTGCTAGGACTAGGCATGGTGGTTACACAACTGCTGACAAGACAGTTTCTGCCCTAAAGGGAAGGCCCCAGATGCAGAGATTTTCCTGGAGATGGTTCCTGAGCTCAGTCTTGAGGGAGTGTGCTTCTTAAAAAGGAAAGTGGGTAGGAGAAGGGCATGCAAGGCACCAGCACAGAACGGTCTCCTCCAGACAGGGCCCCTGTTCTAAACAAGCTCAAGGCCTAAGTGGTGGATGTTCAAAACTGTTACCCAGGGTAAGTGATTCAGAAACAGTGTTACACGAAAGGTAAGCCTGAACAAGGAAAGCCTGAGCACGCTGCTCACCTGCAAACTTATTAACTTCAAGATACCTATCTCTATTCCCAGTCTTAAAAGTTGTCACTACCAGATTTTCCCTCGGTGTTCCTGCAGCCCTGAACCCAAGAGGGTTTTCCCTCCTCCCTTAACTCTCTAAATTTAACCCACTTTCCCCCTTTCAAGCCCACCATTCTGAAGGGACTCGCCATGGATGCTCACAGAAAGCTAAGTGGCCCTGAGGAAGAGGGGCCTTAGGGGACAGGTTAACAGAAAAAAAAAAAAAAAATTGAGACTATTTCTAGCAAGTGCTTCTAAAATTAATAAATCTGGAAACTGATAAAGAGGAAAAGCAGGTTCCTGAAATTGAAATATGTAAATTTTGATCTGCTAAAACCCAACCGGGTTTTAGCAAATTAATTTACATTCCCCAAGCCCTATTTAAGTGCCTATTCCTTGGAATCACCTATAGGGCTAGGAAAGAGGTAAGAAGAGTGGCAAGAATGAAAGGATGAAAACAGCACTGCCTGTGTGTCTGAAAGAAGCAGAGCTGGGTGTCTGTCGGGGGCTAGGGAAAAGGGAAAGACAGGACTTTCATAACCAGAAAATACAGAAACAAGCTGAAGCCTCAGGTAATTCCTGTGGTCCTTAAAGTCTGTACAATCCCTTAATTCTGTGTCAACCTCCCTCAAAGAATCAGAGGTAAACTGATTGCCAACAGCAGCTCCCTCTTCGGAGACTAAACCACCCACAGCCGGGTAACTACACAATCAAAGTGCTTAAGTTTATTGGCTGCACTTGGAACACCACTCCAGGGCAGCACCCAAGATTCACAAAACTCCAGCCCTTGACCTTCCATGACTATGTAAGATAAACATAATTACTGCAATGGGTGCAAAGTGTACTTTTTATATTCCCTCACTTTTCAGCCACAGGCACCTATGGTCCCAGAAAGTACAAAGGCACAGGGAATTCCACTGCTCTGAGACCTTCCTTCAAGAGCCCTAGAGGAAAAACGCTGAGCCCTGGGACTCATCTCCAGACAGGGCCACAAACTAATGGGCTGGAGAGGGAGCTGGCAGGCCCACACTTCATGGCATAAAGGGACACAAAGTGCCACCAAAAAGGTGCTTTTAACTGTCAATAGCAAGTATTAAGACACTGACAGATTGCTAACAACGTAAAGGTACACCTGAGTGTCCTCCTTCTTTAAATGAAAATAGCAAGTTAAGGTGGGGGGGATGGAAGCACGAAGCAGAAGTCAATTTGGACGGCATTTAGGCTGTTAAAGTGATACGCCTGGAAAACTGGCTCCATCGCCTCCTCAACCCCCTACTCCGACCCCCGCTAACACCATTTAGGAAAGCCCTGTTTGTTCCTCAGCACCTGTTCGATCTCTGGCGAGGGTACCAGCCTCCAGACAGGAACGCGCCCTGGAGGGAGATTTAACCCAGCGCCGTCCAGACCCAGCCCTCTGTTTTAGACGCTTCTAAACGACTATGATCTATGGTAAACTGCTTAATCTCAGTTTTTTCCTTTTTGTTTTGTTTTGGGGGTTTTTGAGACAGTTTCACTTTGTCGCCCCCCCCCCCACAGTGTAGTGGTGTCACAGCTGACAGCAACCACAGAATCTTGGGTTCAAGTGCTTCTCTTGCCGCAGCCTCCCGACTAGCTGGGACTACAGGCGCCCGCCACGACGCCCGGTTATTTTTAGAGGCGGGGTTCGGGGTGGTCTTTCACTCTTGCTCAGTCTGGTCTCGAACTCATGCGCTCAGGCGATCGGCCCGTCTCGGTCTCTCAAAGTGCTGGGATTACAGACGAGAGCCCCCGCGCCCGGCCTCAATCTCAGTTTTCTTATTCGGAAATAAAAACACAGTTCTCGCAGGATTACCGCCTGAATTCCTTTCGTTAGTACACAATGCCCAGAGCGCCTCCGTGGACTTTCTGGCACACCCAGCACTACTCAACAGATGCGACAACCGCTCTGCAGCCCCGGTTGCGCTGTCAGCTTTTCAAGCCTCCGGGAGAGCCAGCACCACGGGAAACAAAACAGCACTCTACAGCGTGATGAAGACTTGCCAAGCCACCGCCGCTGCCCTGGGCGCTCCTCCCAGCCCAGCCAGCTCCGTGCGGGGCGCGGCAAGGGCCACGGGGCACTGGGAAGGCGGAAGGCTGGCGGCTGGCACGGGCTACGCCGCTCCCACCCGCTCGCAGGGCCGGCGACCCGGGCGCCATCCCGAGGGCCTTACGCGCGGGGTACCGCTCTCCCTGGGCTCCAGTGGCAACAGCGTGGGGCTCGGAGTCCTGTACCTGCCAACGATCGCCACCCCGCCGTGCTCCGCGGACGCCATGGCCAGGTCTGAGTGGGCCCGAGGCGCGCACGCCAGCTCCGAGACAGGGCGCGGCGGGCTTCGGGGCTCCGCGCTGGGGGGCGGGCCCCGTGCCGGTTGGCCCGGCGACGCCGGGGGGCGGGGCGGGGCGGCTGTTCAGCCCCGGTGGGCGGTGCCGCGGGCAGAACTCCAGCCCCGGACGCCGGGCGCTAACTAGTTGGGTACGGGTGACGCGGGAGGATCAAACCCTTCGGACGCCACTAAGTCACTGTTTCATTTTTCAGCTTCTAACCGTGCGCGTAAGATCCGTGTACACAGAAAGGGACAACACCAGGCTGGCACAAGGCTCGACTGCGGAAGCCTCGCGGAGAAACCTTCAGGAGAGCTCCCCTTGACTGGCATAAGCTGAGCTTCAGCACAGATCGCTCAGGCCTTCAAGCCTGGTCCTGGCTGTGTCTGCCCTGCAGTGGGTTTCTAGAGAGAACCGTGCCGCCTTGCCGCACAGCTGAGAGCCAAGGCCCTGCTCTGTGTGAAAGCAGAAAAAGAAACCTCTAGATGCACGAATCCGTGGGTTCCCGTGCTAACTGCACTTCCTCCTCCTGGTTCATGTATAAGAAAAAGGAAATGCCCTACTGTCCTGACTCCTAGCTATTTCTGGAGCCGGGAACAAACAGGCGGGAGGAAAAGGCATCACACGTTGTTTGACAACAGTTTGTGCCCACACAGCGCATGATGAGGCGGAAACAGAACAGCTGTCCAGTTGAAGACGATTAGACAGCGCTCAGACTGGAAACGCGCCAACACTGACCGACTCGGATGATAGACAGAGCTCTGTCTGTCTTTGTTTTCCCCAAGTCAGGAACATGGAAAGAAAAGTCTCTGAGGGAAGAGTTAGTACGTGAAAGTGTTCTTTTAAACCTATCAATAAACATTTGAAATAGTATGCAATCTCACTTGGAATGAAAAACAGCACACAATAAAGATGTCATCTTTCACCCATAAATTTGGCTGAACTATGTAGATTGATAGTATTCCCATATCTGCAACACAGTCTTTCAGACATGCAACTCTTTCACACAATCTGAAGGCAGCTCAAGTTGGCCTGTCCTTTTTGGAGTAAATGGTACTTGATGTTGTTGGGAGAAGACTCAGCGTGGGACCTGAGCATCCCTGTGAGTTCTGGCTGAGTGCACCAGATCCCATGTCTTCCCCCTCCTGATGCGCAACAGTTTCCTTAGCTACACACGCAGGCATCTAACTAGCCCAGCACCCACAGGGTAAGTACCCTGTGACCACTCACTACTGGGACTGTGGGCACTCAGCAACTGGCCTGTTTTCAGCTCCCTATAAGGTCTGTTCTTTGGTTAAAAAAAAAAAAAAGTGCTGGTACTAACCCGTTGCGAATACAGGGACCAACTGACCTTCCATGGAACCGTATGGGAATTAGGGCTCCACAAACCAGTGTGAATATTCTCAGACTACCTCTAATTCAGAAGTCTCCTCCTTCTGTCAGCATTCACCTATGAAACTATGGCAAGCCAACTTAGGTGAAAATGTTTGACCCCTTCACAGTTCTTGCCACACACCAGAATTTTGAAAGGATACTCTTTGGCTTACCAATTCCAATTCTAGAGATCTGTAGTATGGAAATAAAAGTGGACATGAAGATAGATAAAGTTATTTATTTCCACATAGTCTTTAATAGATACTGAACACATGATGAATACATATTAATGAGAAATGGTTTTACAGATGATGGAACTTTTAGTGAACTGCTTCTGACCATGTTGGAATAAGGATGAAACTTAAACTCTTTCCCTACATAGCTAGAGATCCCCCCACCCCCTGATTTAGAGACACAATGGTCTCAGGCATTGGCCAAGAGGCAGCCTAGGACTCTGGTCCCTGAGAAAAGGGAAGCAAACTAGTCCCAGATTGGAATCCCAAATGAGAAAGCTCAAATGGAGCCTGGTTTCTCATTGAGTTGGGGGAAAAGGTTGAAGTTCAGAAAATCCAAATGAGAATTTGCAGGGTACCAAAGAGAAGGAGGATGAGAGAGAGAAAGAGAGAAAGAGAGAGTGCTAGCTCTAGGGCTCTGTAGAAGAGCTCCACAGGTGTTTGGCTGAGCACTGAAATGTGCATAGGAGAGAGGAGCATATCTGAGGGCAGAGTAGGTCAAACATTCCCAGCGCTTATACAGGACGGGGAAGATTTCCCACGCCTAACCCCACCACACTAGAAAGACCTCATTATACACAGGGGTATGCATAGGACATCAGGTAGTATCCTCAGAAATTCATTGCCTCAGCATTGGAGCTAAATAAATCCCAGACTAAAGGTCTCTATGGACCCTGTTGTACAGGAGGCCAATACCAGGGAGGTTCACACCAGATCCAGACCAGCTAAAGAAGGACTTAGGAGCTGAGGACAGATATGCCTTTATTCAGCTCAAGGTGGCTGATGAGCAAGCATGGGAAGTCCACACAAGTAGAAAGTTCTATACATGTATATATCCAAGGGAACAACAGTGGCAGAGTGCCAAGCACTAGTTATACAATCACAGCACCACTGTGCACAGTTATGGCTATCTAGGAACAACATGGCACCTCTGGTGGAACTGTGGGAGAGGAAGCCCAAACCACTCCATCTTGTCCCACAACCTACCCTAAGAAAGATCAGAATCAAGCCTCAAAAGGACCAACCTTACTCCAAGCACAGTAATTAAACTGTAGCCCAGAATAAAATCCAATAGTATTTAAAGGAATACAAAAACTTTGAAAAAACAAATTTAGGACAACTCTACCTGATTTTAAGATTTACTATAATTGAATCTCCCAATATGATGCTGTTAGGAGATGGGGTGTTTATGAGGTAGACAGGTCATGAGAGTGGAGCCCTCATGAATGGGATTAGTGCCCTTTATATAATAGGGACCAGAGAGAGTGCTCTTGGCTTCTTTCCCCCATGCAAAGATACAAGAATACAGCAGCCTGTAACCTTGAAAAGGCCTTAATTCAGCGGTCCTCAACCTTCCTAACGCTGTGGCCCTTTAATACAGTACCTGTGGGTCACAACCCACAGGTTGAGAACCGCTGCCTTACTCAGAACCCTGTCTTGCTGGCACTCTGGGCTTAGACTTCCAGCTCCCAGAACTGTGAGAAATAAGTCTCTCTTTGTAGCCACCCACTCTGCAGTACTTCTGTTCCAGCAACCCAAACTGACTTAGCCAAATTAAAGACAACTCAATGAGAAAAGGATGGGCTTTTCAACAAATAGTTCTGGAACAATTTGATATACATACACCATGATAATAATCGCCCTGAGCCCTACTTCTCTTATCACATGCAAAAACTCACTCAAAATGCATCAAGACTTAACTGTACAACCTAAAAACCATCAAACATCTAAAAGAAAAAATAGAAAATTTTGTAACCTTGGGTTAGACACAGATATAATGCTAAAAGCTTAACATATAAAGGAAAAATTGCTAAATTAAACTTTGTCAAAATTAAGAACTTAGGCTTTTTCAATTTTTTTTTTTTTTTTTTTTTGAGGCAGGGTCTCATTCTGTTGCCTGGGCTATAGAGTGCAGTGGTAAGATCATAGCTCATTACAACCTCAAAGGACTCAGCTCGAGTGATGTTCCTGTCTTCCCTCCCACCCCCCAAAATTGCTAGGATTACAGGAATGAGCCAAAAGAAACAATTGTGAAAATGAAAAGACTAGCCACAAACTGGAAAAAATATTTTCAAATTACGTATGTGTTACAGGACTTGTATAGGAAATATATAAAGAATTCTCAAACTCAATATTTAAAATGGGAAAACTAAAAAAAAAAAAAACAACACCTTAGACGTGAAGAAAATAGTATTTATTTATTTGGGGAACAAAGAATTGCAATTCATGTTCACTAAATCAGAGAAGGCCTGAATATCGTCCCATAGGCAAGCGCAGGAGAAGTTTTGTAACAGAGGATTTCTGTAAAAAGTTGTTTTTGGTGCTCGCTTGGGCAGCACATATACTAAAATTGGAACGATACAGAGAAGATTAGCATAGCCCCTGCACAAGAATGACATGCAAATTCGTGAAGCGTTCCATATTAAAAAAAAAAAAAAAAGTTGTTTTTGAAGGCAGTTCATTGGCTGGACAGAAATTCTACATTGCAAACTTGTTCAAAGTGATTAATTAATTAGGGTACTCCCAGCTGAGAGATATGGAATGTGAAAGGATACAGACTTCAGTTCTTACCCAAGTCTATTGGAACACTCTATGGTTTGACCTTTAGGAGGTTTAAGTGAGATCCTCTTGCAATCTCCCAGACCCACTTTAGGAAGTTTTAGCCTTACCTCATTTTCTTTCACACTCAACAATTAAAAAAAAAAGCAATAAACAAACAAACTCAGACACAGGCAAAGGACTTGAATAAACATTTCTCCAAAGACACAAAATTGGCCAACAAACTGAATGTGGTGGCACACTCTGATAATCCTAGCACTCTGGGAGGCCAAGGCGGGTGGATTGCCTAAGCTTACAGGTTGGAGACCAGCCTGAGACAGAGCAAGACTTCGCCTCTAAAAGTAGCCAGGCGTTGGGGCAGGCACTTGTAGTCCCAGCTACAAGGAAGGCTGGGATAAGAGAGTTGCTTGAGTCCCAGAGTTTGAGGTTGCTGTGAGCTGTGACACCAAAGCACTCTACCCAGGGTGACAAGTGAGACTCTGTCTCAAAAAAAATTGGCCAACAAGCACATCAAAAGATGATTAACAGCATCATTAATCATTAGGGAAATGCAGATCAAAACTACAATAAGATACCACCTGACACCCATTAGAGTAGCTACCATTAAAAAAAAGAAACCCAGAAAATAACTTGGAAAAGTGTTGGCGAGGATGTGAGGGAATGGGAAGCCCTATAGCACATGTTGAGAATGTAAAATGGTGCACAGCAGCCACCATGGAAAATAATATGGCATTTCTCAAATATAAATAATACATGTAGAATTACCAGATGACCCAGCAATTTCACTTCTAGCTATAGACCCTAAAAATTGATCCTA